AGTCAAATAAGGGACACCCCCTAGCAATGAGGGGTTTAGCTACTCATATTGTTCAAAATAATCACAAGATAAAGATTAGACATTACAAGTAACTGTATAACTTTGAATCTTCAATTGATTCCGCTCATGAGAATGTTCCATTCTCCAAGAACCTTGATCTCCCCAATCTTCAATTGTGTCAACTATTCTTCGCCCTGGAAAAAAGTCCCCTAATTCCTCTTTCAAACTTGGATAAATAGTGAATAATCCATTTGTCTTGGTCAAAAATTCCCAAAATGCCCCTATGGGTTCCAAATCATAAAAACACTCAAAATTACCATATTGGTCAACATGGGCCGTGTCACCTAACACGGACACCCATTCTGGCCTCTGTCCATTGCTCCAACAAAACCTCTCGCCTAGACCTTCTGACATAGGCCGTATCAGCTGACACAGGCACCCGTGTCAGCCTCTGCCTTCTTCTCCCAAACTGTAGCTGTGCATCCTCTTCTGACACGGCCTGTGTCAGGTGACACGGGTGGCCGTGTCAAGGACCCTGTAGCTTGGTTTTTAATACTTCCTCTGAAACTCTAAATTTTCACTTTTTGCCCTGATTTTCCTGCTTTTATTCCTCTGGGCCTGAAATCAACAAAATACACAATCAATGCATAAAACATAGAAGAATAAAATAAAACACTTGACAAAATAAAGAAACTATAAATAAAATCAAATTTAAATTAAGGTGGAAAAACCACTCATAAGTAGCTTAAGCGGCGAATAGGTTGCACCTATGAGTTGATTTAATCTTGCTTAAGATCAAAGGTTGGAAGAAGGAGCTTCAACACCAAATTGGAGAATTTTGTATTGTTGTTTCTAACTCTTCCATTGTATTAAAATTTTTGCATATAAGAATTATCCTAGTTCCATTGGAATTAGGCGCAGACGTACCCATACACGAGGAAGATAATGGAGAATTGTGTAGACAAATTTGCATACAGGGTACGTAGGCACAAAGGTTCGCAACCGTAACAGGCACGGCTAATAAAACCTTTTTCTTTGTATATAAAATTTTCATACATGTATTCTCCCTTTAGCTTGATTAGAGTTTATATAGGAACACCCTTTAGATTAGAACAACAAGAGTGGATCCCATGGAGTACCATGGACTGAGGGGTGCTAATACCTTTCCCTTGCGTAATCGACTCCTGTACCCGATCTCTCGGTCATAAGACCGTGACTTCCCCCTTCTCAGATTTTTCTTTGATGATTTTCCTTTCCCTTTATGTGGGATAAATAAATACTCGATGGCGATTTCATTGATTTTCTCTCGATAATTTTCTGCTAATCCCTTCACTAACAATCTTGAAACACTTGATCTCACCGCACTTTTTGGTAAGTTTGAAGAACACGAGCAAGAACTCAATTGCTTGGATAAATATGAAAAGAAGCTTGAGAATAAAAAGAAGAATAAGGAAAGTCACAAGGAGGAAGTTATGAAGTCCAAAGCTCTTAAGGATTCTAGCTCTAAATCCTCAAAAGAAGAGCAAAGTAAGAATATTGACTCTAGTGATGATGAGATTTCAGATAATGAAGAAATGAGACTATTTATGAATAAATATAATTGGTATGTTCAAAAAAATCGAATTAAACATTCCGACAATAATCTCATGAAGTTTAGAATACAATCCTCCTCCCTCAAAGAAGATAATAACAAAAAGGACAAAGGAAAGGTTATTTTCTACGAATGTGGGAAGTCCGATCCCTACAAACTAGATTATCCATCTCTTGCCAATAATAAAGTAAAAGGCCAAAGAAACAAGCCTATACAAGCCTATGTTTCTTGGGAAAGCGAAAGTTAATCCTCAAGCGATGAAAGCTCAAGTGAGAGTGATGAAGAGGAAAATTATTTTTTCATGGAAAATCATCGAAAAGGCAAGAAAAAGGATGTAAGTTCTAAATAGTCTAACATTTCCACTTTGTCTTATAATGAATTAAAAAGTGAATTTGAAAAACTACAAATAGAGTTTTTGAATACTAACAAAAGATTGGCTTCCCAAGAGAAATTCTTCACATTTTTAGAGGCCAGGGTTGATGAAACCAATGATGAGTTAGAAGAATTAAAAGAACTTATTGTGGATAGTTCAAATCATGAAAAAATGGATGAGTTTTCTCACAAGTATGGTTGTGACACATGTCAAATTTGGAAACAAGTAGTGAGTACTCTTGATACCAAATTAGATAGTCTATATCATCCCATGGAGAACATTCCTATTAGGTCCTTCAAGGTTGAAAAGCCTCATAAAAATTACTCTTTGATTAAGAAAGAACCTAATAGCATCATTAATTCTCATCATAGGATATTTTGTCACCATTGTTGCAAAAAGGGTTACACTATTGAAAAATGCAAGTTTAGGACTTTTTTGATTCCTAAGGGTGATTTTCAATAGTTGTCCAAATGGAAAATTTATTTAACTCACTCTTAAGGACCCAATGAGAATTGGGTACCTACCACCCTTGTTTAATTTTTGTAGGATGAATGTCTTGATTTTATGACGGGAAAGTGGATTCTCGATAGTGGATGTTCAAGATATATGACGGGAGACATATCACTCTTCTCCTACTTTGTGGCGAAGAAGAAAGGATTTGTGTCCTACGGTGATCACAACAAAGGTGCAATACTTAGAAAAGGTAGTATATATAATCCCTCAACTATTACTATCTCAAATGTTATGTTAGTTGAAGACCTTAGACATAATCTTCTTAGTATTTGTCAATTATGTGATAATGGATATAAAGTGTCCTTTGCAGAAAATTGTTGCATAATTGAACATAGTGAAAAGAAGGATTGTATGTTTAAGGTTTTAAGGGTTAGTAACATTTATATGCTTGACTTAAGAGAGATTTCCTTGAATAATGCTCAATGTCTTGTTACCTTGAGTGAAGACTCTTGGCTATGGCATAGACGTTTAGCTCATGTCAACTTTGATTTACTTAATAAAATAGTCTCAAAAGATTTAGTAATTGGTCTACCAAAAATAAAACTTTCTAAAGACCACCTATATGATGCATGTCAAAAGGGTAAGCAAATAAGGGCCTCTTTTTAATCTAAGTAAGTTATTTCTACATCAAGGCCACTTGAGCTCCTTCACATGGATTTTTTTGGTCCCTCACAGACTAAAAATATAGGTGGAAATTACTATGGTTTAGTGATTGTAGATGATTACTCTAGATTTTCTTGGACTTTCTTCTTACGTAGCAAGGATGATACATTCATAGCTTTCACACATTTTGCCAAGATTACTCAAAATAAAATGAATTCAAAGATAGTTGCTATTCAAAGAAATCATGGAGGTGAATTTGAAAACCACCTCTTTGAATAATATTGTGATAAATTTGGCATTGAACATAACTTTTCAGCTCCTAGAACTCCACAATAAAATGGTGTTGTTGAGAGGAAAAATTGCATTTTAGCGGAGTTGAAAAGAACAATGCTCAATGATCGTGGTCTACCAAAATATTTTTGGGCCGATGCTATTAGAACAACATATTATGTCTAGAATAGGATAATTATTTGTCCAATTCTTGACAAAACTCCTTATGAATTTTTGAAAGGTAGAAAACCAAATTTATCTCATCTTCATGTCTTTGGATGTAAATATTTTGTTTTAAATAATGGAAAAGACAATCTTGGAAAATTTGACGCGAAAGCCGATGAAGGTATTTTTTATGGATACTTGGCATGCCCCAATTTTTGTCCTAAGATCCCATCTTCATTTTTCATTTTTATTTGTATATACATCAAGGTCACGAAATATCGTTGGTTTTGAACTTTTTACCTCCGATCATTGCGTGTGCAGAGATTATCGAGTGTTGTGAACATTTTATCTTATGTATCACTAACTTCTAATCACATACAAAGATGTATGTTTGTGTTTCTTTTGTTTTCATTTACAGAGAGAGGTTTGAATCAAAAGCGTCAGACATTATGCTGCAATTAGGGTTTCTAATTCCTCAAGTTGTTCAAGTATGATGAACCACTGATTCTCAAAGGCTACTTCATTGAAGTTTAGCCTTTAATCTCAAACCACAGTCAGGAATTCATCATCATTTGTTTGCATATGCATCACCATGCCTTGAAATACAAGAAAAGATTAGGCTAGGCGAGACGACTCAAAGCACTTTGACTAGAAGTCAACACTACCAAGATTAAGTTTAAGCGATCATAACTTCCACTATTTTTCAACATTTCAATACGATTCTTATTGCACAACTATCATAAGTGATTTTTCCTAAAAGTTTCTTCAAGGCATTGTTGATTATGGAGGATTGAAGTAAATTACAACTTATTTTGGTCGATGCAATTTTGGATCTCATCAAATACTTGTTACTCTAATTTTCAAGTTAGTTTGAATTCGGAGCATTAAAGATTCATTAAGATAAAAGTTATGTCATTGAGATTTGGAACTGAAGAATTGTCAAATGAGCCAAGGTTTCTTAAAATGAAGGTAATTCATTCATCAAAGCACAGTGAAAGGTACAATGAGAAATATTTGTATCCTATGGCTTAGAACTTCAAGTTACAACCAAGGAAATGTTTCATTTTTGAAAGACAAGTATCTCAAAGTCATTATTGACCGTTTTGTGTGATTACTTTGATGGATTCACACCATGGCCATTTGAATTCACAATGAGGCATTTATTAAAGGAGATGTTGAAAAGAGAAACTTGATTCAAAATTTCCATTCATCACAAGAACAAATACATGATGGTTACAACTTCACTACAAGATCAATTCATGTAATTCATTTGGATCTCTAATAACGAATACAAGATGCAAGATTGAGGTCTTAAGGCATGCATCATTATTCATTCATCATTCAAAAATTCATTCAAATATCAATCAAATCCTTTCCAAATTCAAGTGGAAGATTTCGAATTTCATCAAGACGAATATAAAGATTCAAAGTTTCAAGTGATCCAAAGTGTTTACAATTACAAAGGAATTGAGAGAAAAATTATATTCAAGACAAGTCTCCATTCATGTTACATAAAAAGTTAAATTCTAGACCTAATGTTAATTTCAAAGCTTCAAATCTTGCTCCAATACCCTGCCAAAAAAACCTTGGTGTCCAACAATTCAAATCAGCCCAATATCATGCTACATCTCCCTACAAACCTGCATAAGCAACCAAGCAGGTCTGTCAAAAACTCTGCATATATATACCTGCTGCCCTGCATCATAACAGATAGGAGGTTACACCAAAACGGCAACTCAAAACTGTATGGAAAAAGCATCAAAACAGGGCATTCATATTTGTTCAAAATCTCTCCAATTTTCCCTCCCAATTCCACTCCGTTATGCTTATAAAAAGAGACCAAGAACACCCAATAATGAGAGTAGATAACACAAAAAAACTCTTTCAACATTTATGTAAAATTTACAACCATCCCCACTCTTCATAAAAGATAGCCACCTTCAAAAACAGAAAAAGAGAGAAATTGGTTCAAGAATCACATCAAATAATCATAGTTAAAGAAGCTTGAGCATCAACAAGAAAGGGAGGGAGAACTTACTGTTTTTGAAGCTCCATCGGAGAGACTCCGATAGGTATTTCTTCTCCCTATTACTTATGCATAATTTTCTCGTATATACATCAGCATCTGTTAGATTCATTTGCATAGCAACATCACTTACATGTTGAATCTTCTATCTATACCACTTTTTTATGCCATATGAATGCTTGATTTATCACACTCCTTTGTTGTGTTTTGGAGCTGCTACATTTGGTTGATATTCAGAAATGTTTAGAAGTAATAATAATAATAAACGCAGACGGAAACACACAGACAATGACACAAAAAAAGAAAAACCAGGAGTGAAAACGATAGAAACTACAGAAAAATTAGAGAAATTATGAAAATTCAAAAAAAATACTCACCATTTCCATACACCAAACAATCCCTTCCAGTACTCCCTCCTCCTTTTGCTTGATCATCGACCTCACATCTCACTTTCCTCAACATAACCACATATTCCATCTTCATTCACCTTCAACCTTAACCTTTGAACCTGCAATAACCACGTACAAACTCATGAATCGTATTCACAACGAACTTTCAAACCTGTAGCAGCACAAAAAAGTTCACTCAACTTGCAGATTGATACCATCTACACCAAAAGGACAAAAATTTACATTAACCAGAACCTACAAAAAACATATGCATAAAAATCATAAACTTACCTCAATCCCTCCTTCAATATCTTCCTACTGCAGAAACATGAACTTATGATAAACCAACTACTCCCTCTATTCCGCAAGCTTAACCAGATCATGCATTAATCTCTCCTAATCATCTTCATCTTCCCTTCAAATTTCCTTCTGTCACTCTCTGCAACTTCATCCATAATACTTCTTCCAGTACCCTTCCAACACCATCCGGACACTATCATCAACATCCACCGCGCAATTAACGCCAGAGTTCAGACCTTCGCTCATCTGGTGTCATCACCGTAATCACCTACAACTATCAATATCACGGAATCAACAAATTCGTGCCATCAACAACATATTCAAAATCATAGAAAAGTGGAATAGAAGAGGAAAGACGCAAAGATTAGAGAAGAGAACATTGTACCTGTAACCGATCTCGTGCCAAATTTAAAACCGGAAAAAGTCTCCTCTCCGTCGATTTTGGTTCCGTTGCATATCTTGACTGTAAAAGCACAAAGTTTGAAACAGTGAACCGTGAAAACCAATTTTAAGGGGTTGAAATTCGAATCATGGAAACTAAGAGAGGAATCGATGATGATGGTAATGAATTGTGAGAGCGAGAGAAGAAGATGAACATGGGAGTAGTTTTGATCGATAGAAATAAAATAGGGGAATGGATTGAGAAAGGTGAAGAAGCATGAATAGGGAAGAGATAGTATTACAAATTTTTTTCACGATAAAGCATATGAAGTAGAGTTTTTTCGGAAATAATGTTAATTAAATCTGTAATTTTCCCCTTTTCCAACACAAATCCAGTGCCTTTTTGCATAATTAGGGTTTCAAAAACCCTTCCTTGTCTCTTCCCAAACCGGGTTGGCCTCAATGGGCCTGTTGGCCCAATCGTATTATCATTATCACCCTTTTATTTCAGCTAAAGCATAGATATAATAGAAAAGATAAGTAACTTAGTGGATAGACGTTTCAGTGGTAATCATAAGGACTAGAGTTTGATCCTTGGTTCTCTTTTTTTTATTTTAAATTTTAAGTCTTTATTTAGTCTTAGTTCATAAAAATTTATTAAAAAATGTTAGATTATGTTTATTTTATAATTTGTTTTTGCTTGCAACCACCATATAAATAAAAAGAAAGAAAATGTATATATTGTATAATTTTTGTTCTTCTTTTAATCAGTTTTTGGTTGTTAATTATTTAATCATGTAATTGTTAGTTGTTTAATTTATGTCCGATTATTTGAGCTATGTACTTTTGTTTATCTAATTCAAGGAAAATGTTTTAACTTTGCTGACTTCATGTCATCAAATATATGTAATACGATTGTGTGAAATCCTTCATACATTTTTAGTTTTGTTAATCTTAAGTTAAAACTCTCCTAAAAAAGTCAATTTTAAAACTCACACCCCTTTAAGTCAAAACTTCGACACTAGGTCATCGTATCTTTAAAATCTCATTCACACCCATTTTAACTAAAACACCAATTTTAACCAACAAAACAGATATTTCAAAAGGTTCTTATGGAGTACCGTAGATGCATTGGGTGCTAGTACCTTCCCTTTGTATAACCCCCCCCCCCCCCCCCCCCCCCCCGAACTTTCGATCTCTTTCAAAAATGCATTGTATTTTCATCATTTTTAAGTATTACTTTACATTGCCTATTTAAGGGTTTTATTTCGCTCTTTTCCCTTTTCTCTTGGAAATAATAAAGCACGATGGTGACTCTTGATTTTGCGAGTCGAGCTAGTTAATAGCTCGATCTCCAATTTACACCGCTACATTCTTTACCGCTACAGAATTGGCGACTCTGCTGGGGAATGATTGACCTCTTGCTGGTCCATCCCTAAGTGGGTTAAGCCTAATTTTTCATATCTGTATTTATCATTTGTTGGTTTGATTATATGTTATATATTGTGGTTATTTGGGTGTTGATGATACTTACAAAGGACAAGTCCTATACCCGTACTAAATTACACTTAAGAATAGGACGGGCGGTATAGTCATGTTAACTTTGAGGGAGTAATCCCAAATAAGGAGACATGAAATCCCCCACTCAGTGGAGGTCCCCTTGAATGTAGTATTTGTTTACCGAGTAATAGGGAAGACATTGCTGCTTTTGACCTGGGAGCCAGAGAAGCTGAGAACCGTAGAACCCTTAAATCATCTTGGCCTCTTAGGTGTAGTGCGGAGACTATAACAAAGTAATTAAGAAGTAGTTGTCACGCGATGTTGCACTCAGACGAGTTTCTCTTGAGAATATTGCTAATTACTGAGTAATCGAGATGTTGGTAATATCCAAAGGAGGATCGTAGACTCTAGGAACTTTTAGAACCTTGTTTTACAGGTGTGGTTAAACCTTTGGTACATACCTTAGGGGTGGTCTTTACCTTTGACTCCATGCTCGTAGCGTTGAACCTTTGAACCCCCATGTTTGTGAGCTTATGTGTAATTGTTACATTATCATTCATTCATGGACCCATAAGAATTATTTAAACATGTTTTTCAAGGAACTTAAGAATGCTTTTTGCAGACATCTCAGGTACTTTTTACCATGGATTTTGGAAAAAGGAACACTCGAAGTTACAGTTTCAAGAATCCTGAGATTGAAGATTTGAAGAGTTTAATTCTCAAGATTGAGAACCTTACGGATTTCGAAAGAAGTATGGACTTACTATTCCTCTTATGAAGCGCAAGATGAAGGAGGGTATCCTTACTATGTTGGTCTAGTTCTATGATCCGTTGTATCGATGCTTCACTTTTCCTGACTATCAATTGATGCCCACTTTGGAAGAGTATTCTTATATACTTGGTTTACCAATCACCGACTGTGTTCCTTTCTCCGGTTAAAAAGGGGAACCCAAGTCTCATGAGATAACAGTCGTTACCCACTTGAGGAAGTCTGAGATAGAAGATAACATGACTACCAAGGGAGGAATCCGAGGCTTACCTCCATAGTTTTTGTTGAAGAAAGCTTGTTACTTCGCCGAGATAAAGGGTACTGCCACCTTTGAAGCTGTCTTTTCTTTGCTTGCCTATGGGTAGTTCTTGTTTCCTAACATTGATAAGTTCGTGGATGTCAATGCCATTAGGATCTTTTTGATTGGAAATCCAGTCCCTACGCTGCTAGGAGATACCTTCTATTCTATCCATCTTCAGAATTCCTACCAAGGTGGGATGATTATATATTATACACCATTGTTATACTAGTGGTATGTATCCCATTTTCCTGGGTCAAATGTTTTTTGCGATCTCAAGAAGGAGCCACGACGGGCGCCGAAAATTATGGATCTTACTAATTCCGAAATTGATTGGTATGATCAAGCTTATCATGATGTGAAGATCATTGATAGTTGTGGTGGTTTTCCCAATGTGCCTTTTCTTGGTACAAAGGGAGGAATTAACTACAATCCTGTTCTTACACGCCGCCAGTTTGGATACCCAATGAAAGACAAGCCAAACAAAATTCATCTGAGTGGTTTCTTTCTCCAAGAAGGAAAGGATCACAAAGCAGCTAAGGAGGATATTGAAAGGGCTTGGCACCATGTCCATAGAAAGGGAAGAGACATATTATGGCAGAGAGGTGTTGTTACTTTGGAGCCTTACCTTCAATGGGTTCGTGCTAGGGCTTACGCTCTAAATATGCATTATTATCCCGAGAAACCTTTATTCCCTGTTGCTACACCGTTATCTACTACCATTCCTATTGAGAACATGAAAGAGTATCAGGAAAATCTGGCTAGAATGGAGTCTGAAAGAGATGCTTGGAAGGAAAAACATAGTATATAAGAATACGAAAATAGGGTCTTGACTAGACAACTGAAGGAGAAGGAGGATATGTTATTTATTCAAGATGGTTGGTTTATTAATCGTGATGAGAAGCTTTGTCAGAAAGGTGCATTGCTCAAGAAATATGCCAAGGAAAAGAAGAGAAAGGAGGAAGATTTTATAGATGTTACTCCTGTTCCTAATCCATGGGAGAAAGTTGTTGATCAGCTAATAGCCGAGAAGATAGAGATGGAAGACTTCTATGAAAAGAATATTAGGAAGCTCAAGTTACAAGTAGCATTTGGTCCTTCGTCCGATGATGATTCTGAATGATCATAGTCCCTAGATTTTATTACTTATGTCATTTTGTAAAACTCTTTAAAGGGATTTTATGTTCCAAAGATGTAATTTTATGCCTTTATTAATGAAATAAGTTTTATTGTTCCAAAGTTCTTTACCATTGATGTTTGCAAGTTATCAAGGTTTTAAAGTTCCTTGAAAAAAACTATCAAAAATAAATAATCATTTGCATCGCATATCATGCATCATTCAACATTCAATCTTACATATTTTCTAGAGTCTTATTCTTGCTTGTTTTTCCACTCTGATAGACCATCAAGATGTTTCACCTGTATAATACTCGAGCCAATCGCCGAAAGAGAAGGGAAGATCTAGAACAAGAAAGTCATGAGCTTCGTGAGGAGGTTACTACTCTTCGTACTAGAATGGAAAAATTGACCACTTTGGTGGAAAGCTTGATGGCTGCTCAGAATCAGCCATTAACTTCGGCCACTGAAGCTCAAGCTTAAACTACTGCAGTTTCCAAAGTCGTCACTACTCCAGCCTCTTTGGCTCAAGTTAACCCTCTGCAACATCAAATGCCGAAAGGTTTTCCATGGGGTATGCCTTAAAATTTAACTTTGGAAGGGTACCATCCTACTGTGCAACCCATGATTCAACCTATTGTATCTTTTCCTCAACCTGAGATGACTACTGTGCAACTTGTGATCCAACCTATGGTATCTTTCCCTCGGCCTGTAATGACTACTGCTTCTC